ATCTCAAAATATTATACTCGTTTACTTTTCTTTGAATACAGAAAATTATTTATGGAATCATATAAAATAGTCATATAAAATGCAAACCAATAAATTAGAATAGAATTAAATCAATGTCAAATTATTTTTTTACATAATTTAAATTCTTCAGTGAGTTCATTATCTCTACATATAAAAAAGCTTTTCATGCAAATAATTTATAATTATTTGTTATACATTTATTTATGCATAATGTATAATTAGTAAAAATGGCTCTAAAAAGTTGGATTTAGGGGACTACATAATATATTTAGATTACAGTTTTATAATTTGAGCAAAGAGTATGAAAAGTTGTATAATTTGTGCCATGGGGGTTGATCCACTTTTAGGTGGACAGGCTGTACCACTCCCTAGTATTAGTAAAAGAAATGTTGTCAACACACCAAAAATAAAATGGAAAAATTATTAGTTTTATATTTTCTTCTTTAGATAAATTTAAAAATTCCTATACCTATTTTAAATTTGAAACGTGAAAATAGCATTCATCTTGACTGTTTTATTAATTCATTTATAAAAGTAGTTCAACAATGTAGTTTGAAAAGTTATTTATAAAAACAATGTTATAAAAATAAATTCATCCCATGGACGTAATGAGTATATTATTAAAGAGGTTTATCGGAAGAATGTCCTTATAGAATTGATAGTGGATCTCTAAAAGAAATCCTGATCAATAATGTATCGCAAGACTTATACTGTTAAACAATACTTTTTAATCAGTGTTCAACTCTAGGAATAAATAGTTAGGTAATGTGATGAAGAGAGTTCTAAAATCTCTTTCAAATTAGTACCGATTTTAGTTGCATAACATTCTATTGGTCTCTGGCTTATCTTAAAACAAATACTTTCACATGAGATATATGAAGCCATACTACCAAAAAGTAATATCATGATATTTTAAATTATGAGTGTTGAACACGATTTTTGAAGAATTTAAACCGCATTGTACATTACAAAACTGGCATGTAAATTGATAAGAACTAGATCAAACGGTTTTCAAGAAATACATATTTCAGTTAATTTAACGTACCTTAGGTGTATCTTACATCACATTTTTTCTTAAAATGGGTTTAAGTGTAAGAGTTCAAAGCTCATCCAACACAAAGGTAGACAGTGAACTAAGAAAAAATTAAAGTTTTTTCTCCAAATGATGAAATAATATTTTTTTTTAAAAATAATATTGAAAAGAATTAAGATAATATAATAGACAGTAACACAGTTTAATATAAAATTTAACTTTTTTGTGTGTGAACAAAAAAGAAACATATTATTAGTGTTCAAATGATTTATTGTGACAGATATTTTTAATGTAAGTTATTTAATATTATACTGTATGTATATATACAATGCTGGTCACCGTAAATGCAACACCAAGAAAGACAAGAGATAGAACAACAAAATTTATTTTGTAGATAACATGTTGACTAAGTATTAAATAATCAAATTTATAGACTTCTGTGAAGAGTGGTTCCTGACAGAATCAGTAGCCAGAGTAGCTGCCATTGTTAGAGATCGCCGCTGCCACACGCCTCGGCATTGATTCAGAGACTTTGGATGTGTTCATGGGAAACAGCAGACCAAGCAGCTTCCACACGTTGCCAAAGTTGATCTGGTGTGGCAGCTAGGGGTGTAATTTGGGTCAATCGCTGAGCAAATATGGACTACATGTTTTTTATCGGTGAAAGATCAGGAGAGAGAGCCGGCCAGGGAAGCAATTCATTATGGTGATTGACGAAGAACCATTGGATAATGCGTGCCACGTGTGGTCACGCATTATCCTGTTGAAATATGGCTGTGGCCAAGCCCTGAAGGTAAGGAAGGACTACTGGCTCCAAAACGTTGGAGATGTAGCGCTGGCTGTTTAAAGTACCGGGAATGCGTACTAGAGGAGTGAGAGAGTGATATCCAATACCGCTCCATACCATAATACCCGGCGCAGGACCAGTGTGGCGGTGCATAATACAGCTGTTTAGCATCCTCTCTCCACGGTGTCTCCAGACTCGAATCCGACCATCGTGGAGTTGCAGACAGAGGCGTAACTCGTCAGTAAAGACAACTTCATTCCATTCTGCCGCCCACATCCTTCTTTCATCGATCATTGGCGGCGGAGACGTCTGTGGTTCTGCGTCAAGGGTAGACCAAGCAATGGACGTCTTGCGGACAGACCACTCTGCTGTAAACGGCGTCGAATGGTACACGCAGACACCGAATGATGCGTTAAAGACTCAATGTGATGTGCTGTAGTTCGTGATGTGACTGAGGGATCCGTCACTGCCATGCGCACAATTTGCCTGTCCTCACGTGAAGTGGTGCCCTGAGGGATGCGATTGACCACGTCGGTCATTCGTACCCTTCTGCATCCAACGGTCCCATATCCGCATTGCAGTTGTTTGGTTTCGTCCAACATGACTACCGATTTCCCTGAAAGATAATCCACAATCTCGGTAGGCCACTATCCTTCCTCGGTCGAACTCGAATGCTTGATCAAAAGCTGATTGCTGTTTTCTGCGAGACATAACAGATCGTTTTTTGAAAAAAATCACAAGAAAAACACAATTGCCGAACTTGAAATCGTCGAAATCTCCAAGCCTTAAGTAGCGCTTTGAGGTGGGCGCGTGTAATGTGTGTCTGCGCTGAAATTCTAATCATTTGCATATATCACCTCCGCTAATACATGTTGTAAATTTCATGTTATTTGCATGCTTCCTTCAGGGTGTTGCCTTTACGGTGGCCAGCAGTGTATACATATCGTAGTTGGCGAGAGTGAATTATTTTATTATTTTCATTAGCAAGGTTGTAGTTGTAACAGTTATTGTAGTGAAGAGGAATCGTATAGTATAAGGAAACATCTTCTCAAGTAGCATTCAACACACATTCATTTACAATCACACACATATATGAATAACTACTGGACAACACTTAGCGGGCTACATTATGAAGACAAAAGAGAACTTTTCCAGCATCTCAAGGCTTTTATATGAAGCGGCAACAGAAGGTCTTGAAATCCGTGCTATTTCCGTAGACGTAGCTTGCTGTTGGTGGAAAGGTATCGTACAATGAAAATTACTTAAGTTTACTTATGAAAAAGCAGAGCAGTTAATTTTCAAGAGATACAGTTACGAAGATTCACGTTAAGCGGGTAGCTAATAATTATTTACGAAAGGCCCTTTAAAGGTAAGTAAGAACCATTACAAATTAAAAATATTTTAGATGAAATTAATGAGAATTATTACATATATAATAATAATAATGCATTTAAACTTTTTCTTGAAGGATTTTAATTCATAAAGGTCTTAAACTCTTCTTGTGATAATTAATTTCTAGTTGACCCGCCTAACGGGATACAACAAAAACCTTATCTCTTACAAACTAAAAATGTAGCCCTATTAAACCAGGATGATCTTGATCACTCTTTCATCTCATCCGCGTATCTAGACCAATCAGAAAAGCCTTTACCGGAAATCCTCATTTTAATAGTTCCAGTTGACCATGAATAGAAATAGACGAGATCTTCGGAGCAAATTAGAACGCTTTTGTCCTTTGTATTGCTTGTGCGTGTTTTTTTTTTTCGTGTTCCCTCTTTATGTTTGTGATCTTCAAATAAATGGGATTTTAAAATAACAATATGTTTCCTCATCAATCCATTGAACGGTTGCAACAAAGAAACGAATTAATTGATTCATTCACGCAAAATGACTTAATCCAAGTGGAAATTATCTCATATATATATATATATATATATACCGACCGAGCTGATTTTACCAGTAAATGGAAAGAAATGTTTCTTGGTAAATGTTGCACAAATTAAGAAAATAAAGTAATTCTCATCTTTCATTAATCTGAAAATAATTTTAATAAAACGGTATTGGGAAATAATTTACGATGTTCGTTAAGTTTTTCCTGATCTACATGTTCAGTAAAGCCATTTGCATAATTTATTTGTACTTCTCAGCGCAATCATTGTTTCCGATCCATTTACGAAATCTAAAATTTTCCATAAAATGCCAACAATTACATTAATTGTTTTTAGAACAGGAAAGTTACACGAACGCATAACAAATTAATATCCAATATTAAAAACATTTTGCAAACAATTTTCCGTAATTAAATTCCCAACATTAACCTTAATATTAAAGAGACGTAATAAAATAAGAGTATCATACCAAAGGCTTAATTAACTTAAGAATTTTTTACGGATTTTCCAATTAACATCAGACGAGAATGATTTACATTTTCAATTAGGTTCGGCAGAAATAACTTCGCATTTATGCTCTATCAGTGAATAAAGGGAAAACTCAGATAGTTTCATTTCACGTGAGGAAACAAAGATTTAAGTAAACTGCATTTATCCAGTGATTAGGATAGTCTAATATCACTTCAATAAGTGCCTTTATTTTACAGGAATTACCAGCATTGTTTTACCACTTCTATCTTTTATGACATAATGATCCAATTTTAAATACTCGTTTATCAGTATTATTTGTCTGTTGCTCTTAAGTCTTATAATTAAATATCTTTTTTTCTTACAGAAAACTCTCTTAAGAGTTTATCATTAATTATATACTTGTTTTTCTTCTAATGAATGAAAAAGCTTAGCTCGCTCTTTCTAAAAACAATTAAATAATTATTAACTTCAGAACACTCGAGTAATAATTTCACGGCAAACTTTTAATAACAGAAAGATTAATAAGGAATTTTACGTAACTTGTATTATCATTTTGTATGTATAACAAGTAATATAATTTTCTTAAGTCAATTCCTAATTAGGTTAACAAAAAAATTTTTTATTTTAGTTACATTTCATTAAATAATTAAAATTAATATAAATATGGATACACAGATGACAGAATCACAACAATAAGTAGCAAATAAAGAAAGCGATTTTCAATTTTATAACTGGTGTTCGGCAGTTATTTTTTTGTTACTTTTTATGCATTCATAAATCACAACCTCAGAAATTAGGCCATCCCAGGTAGTATTCAAACCCACGACCTTTGGATCAGAAGTCCAACGCGCTATCCAAAATGCTCTACAGGGACTCAACGAGCGAGTTTCCTTTTTATATATGGTGTTGGACTATTATTTTTTCATTACTATTTATTTATTAATTAAGTTTAATTAATGAATCAATATTTGAAAAAAAACTGTATAAACAGTTGTCATCCACTACAAATTTGAAAATGAATTCGAACTTGAGAGAGGAATATAAAGCACTTTATAAACGATTGAAAATTAAACAAGATATATATATTTATATATATATCTACTATGTCGAAAATTTCTGCTGTACGGAGAAGGTTGGATCCACAAAGCATTGCTTAACCCTAATTCACTGACCTAATTCAGCGACAGCTTTAGAAATCATAATAGGTCTCCGGTTTAGTCCAATGACTTTTTTGTTTCTACATTTGTTGTGTCCAATTTCTTACTTCTTTAGCACTGTAGGTTCTAGTACTTATTCTCTTTTATTTTATTATGATATATATATATATATATATATATATATATATATATATACATACATACATATATATATATAGAGAGAGGGAGGCATAGAAAAATGTACAAGAAAGGGATTTTTTATACTTTCTGAATGTGTTAGATCTACAGTATAGTTTTCATTTGCTTATTTAACTGATTTATCTTGAATATGTATATTTTGTTATTATAGTATTTATATTAATACACAGTATTTGTGTTTTCCATTTGAAATTTTGCATTCTGAATAGTTTTGGGAAATTAATGCATTTTATTAGCATGCTATTTAAGTTTTCATGTATATTTTCTTAAATCGTAGATGTTTTATTAGACATTCGGTCGGCTAGGGGTCTTAGAGAAAGCGTTTTTGCTTTGGAAGTCTAAGATTACGGTTTCGATTTCAGCTGAAGTCGATAGATTTTCTGGATGTGAAAATAGTAGGTACGCATGTCATATGTGATTAGGTGGCAAGTAAAAGATCCATTGAGTAACAGTTTGACTCTGGGACTTTCAGCAAAATTAAATCATGGTAATATTTAGCATCCGACGAGTGCTTGAAATAAAAAAAGTAATATAAAATATTAAGTCAATTTCTTGTTATGTCAACAAATAAACATTTTATTTTAGTTACTCTTCATCAAATAGTTGCAATTATAATATAAATATGTATATACATATAACAGAATCACAATGCTAAGTGCCAAAATAAAAAAGCGATTTTCCTCGCAATTTTCCATTTTCCTTTCTATAGATGTTGTTGGACTATTTTGTGTCTGTTTGTTACTATTTATTAATTAATTAAGCATAGTTATTCCAATAAAATACTATAGCGAAAAAGAAATCATGTTCTCACAAATTAGGCCTTCACAGGTGGGATTCGAAAACCCACGACCTTCGGATTAAAAGTTCAACATGCTATTCATTGCGCTACAGGACGATTTTCCTTTCTATATATGCTGTTGGACTATTATTTTTGTTTGCTCTACTCTAAATCATTTTTAAATTTAATTAATGAATTAATATTTGAAAAAAAACACTGTATTAACATCAAGTGTCATCCACTACAAGTTTTAAAAACTGTATTTGAACTTGAATGGATGAATAGAAAATATTTTACTAACGACTGAAAATTTGAACAAGATATATATATATAATATCGTTGGCCGGTGTTGATGTATTTATTTGTTTACCAGGGGGTAACAGAAAAATTTTTCAGAATTAAATTTCACCTTGTTTATTCACACGCATATAACGTAGATGGACAATTTACAGTTGTATTTCACAGATATTTGATAAGAACACGAAAACAGACACATATAATAGAAACGACAAGCAGCAGCGACATTTCACATTTCGAACACAAAGACAAAGGGAGTGATCACAAAAGATTTTTGCTTTTTATACGTGGCAGTGAAGACCGCGTGACTATTTTCTAATAATAACTATGATTGGATAAAATGGGCGGGACAGGGATTTCTGATACTAGTTGATTACGATTAAGATTAATGGCGTTAGTTTTGAACCAAAGAATTAAAGCTTGTTTAAACGTTAGTAAAGAGTTAATTAAAAGGATTTTAGAAGGAGTTATTACCTATATATATATAGTCTAATTCTCTACAAACGAGATATGAACAAACAAAATCGAAAAACACATAGACAGTAAGCAAACCACACAATGAAGGACACATGAGCAATCGAATTTTAAAAAATAAATGTTTCAGTATTATAAACAATGCTGACTTAGGACAGCTTATATATAAAATAATTTATATAAAAAGTATATATATATATATATATATATATATATATAGAGAGAGAGAGAGAGAGAGAGAGAGAGAGAGAGAGAGAGAGTGAACTCATAGTAGGAATTGAGAAATTAATTCAAGCGTCGAAATTTTGTAGCGAGGATGACCACCAGATGGTGCCACCATGAAATGGTTCTCGCATCTTGGGACTTGCAGTGTATTTGAAGGTTTAGTTGCCAAAAAGCAGCACATTAGGGCATTGCTTCTCAAACTTTCAGTATTGTGACCCAATTTTAAATCATTATTTTTATCGTCCTTCCCCACCCATAAAATAACACTGTATTGAAAATTTAGTATTTGCATTACGATCTTAATTATAAACCATACAAATTATAATGATAATTTTTACACTTTGTATGATAAGTTCATACAAAATGTTAATAATTATTAAACTTGTTCTTAACTTAGTGTTGATAAATTAATTATCAAATACATTGTGCCTTACTGATGAATTTATAAGTATAGTACATCATAATAAATGTGTATTTCTTTTTATCATGTCAGAATATATTTTGTTTTGCTTCCTTTAGGTAAATTAATAGTTTCTTTAAAAATATTTTATTTTTGATATGCTCGCCCCCCCTCTACATAGGGTTATCATGTTCCCCTAGGGGCGTGCCTCACAGTTGAGAAACGCAGCATTAGGGGAAGAATAAGATATTCGAAATTTTTAATATATTGGAATTTTGATTGATTTCGACTCGCAGTTTGATGATCATGTAAATAAATTGTTTTGTTTTTAATAGTTATTTTTGTTTTGAAAATTTTCACTTCTTTACTTTTTCATTTTAATAATTATTATTTTAACGACTAAGTAATAGAATTATTCTGTCGGTAAAATTCCATATTTTAAATATTGTGTTATTTTTGTTTGGATGGAATTGTATTTTTTTTGTTATTCAAATTACATTTTCATTATTATTAAAATTGCATTTTTAATACTAACCAAACTTTATTTTTATCATTAATTGTTCATTTGTATGTCAACTTATATATATATATATATATATATATATATATATATATATATATATATATATATATATATATACGCTGTATTTAATTTCTACTCAATTCTTGTTATTATTTACAATTTCTGTTTAATATGTATTTTGTGCAAAATAATTAATTTGTTGACATGCTGTTTCCACCACCATCGACTTCATATTTATCTTTCGTGTGATGGCAACATGTTGTTTGGAAAGTTGTTTGTGTAATAAGGTACTGTGGAAAGTTCAGTTGCTCCTCTGTCCCTCATTAGGAGAGGTTCGACGCACAAAGCTGCTGCCCTTTGCTTAAATATTTCTTTGCTAAATTAAAACTCTTGAGTTTTAAAATTAAAAGTCTTCTTTAGTCCTGTGTGTGCACAACTAATTTTTAAGGTTATTATAATTTTAAATTACATGAATTAGAGTTCCTAAAATCATTGATTATCTTTAAAAGTATAACGATAATGAGGATCCTATTTCGTCAAATATACTCTTTTTGAGGAGTCATCTGGACACCAAATTTATCATAATGCTTATGGAGAATTTTATCAATTGATTGCCAAAATGATAATGAGAAAATAAGTGAAATTAATGAATTGTGTTTTTTTGAATGTTGATTTGATTTTAATTTACAATACACTTCGAAGCAAAATGACGTACTTCTTAATTCTAAAACACAATAAAGTGACGACTATGGCACACCTAATATATGGGTGAACTTTGGCGTTTTAAAATTATGTCGATAAAAATATGCGAATTTAGATGAAATAAGTGCATAAAATTGCATTACTTCAATAGTAATGAAAAAACAGTTTCAATATACATAAGAAAATATAAATTGTGTAACTTTCATAACAAATGAGTTACTGATTAAATTTTGTTTTCCATTACAATAACCATACGGATTTTATATCTGTGAAAAAATCAATATCACTATTGATAAAATAGCTTTTAATCATAATTTACTGTAAATATTACATCGTACAATAAATTTTCTTTTCATTATTCGAATTGTTCCCATATAAATACAATACAAAATATAACTTTATTTTGATAAACTCCAAACATAATATAACATCCTTTATGTGTTTTTGAAGTTGTAGTTTCCTTCAATACAAAAGATGAGTGAAGCAAATAAAATAAATAAATATAGTTAAGATAAAATATTATATACTTATGCTTACAGATAAAATACAATTTTACAAATAGTAGTGAGATAATTTTTGTTTTATTTTAAGTGGATTCCTTTCTTATAAATTATTCACGATATATCACGCGAAAGAAGAAATGTTCAGAATAAAGTAAAAAAAAAATACTAGTTCTTATTGTATGAGACGGCAACCGGAAGAGAAATTTAATGTAAAATCTTCATATTGTCAAGTAAACTCCAGAAATACTTCCTGTATATGTACTACGAATAAGAAAAGTTTAACTTTACATATATGTACAGTAAAAATAATAATAATATTGAAACAGCTAGGATGGAAAATTTCTAAGTATTATTTTCAATTTTTGTTCCATGAATAAAATAATCCAAAATAATCGACTAGGAAGCTAAACTTGGCAAGATGAAGAAGATGGATTGACCGTTAAAACGTTCAGTGAATTTTCCCGCAATTCGTTATTGAAATAAAGTAGAAAATTTATCCTTGAGTCTTTCCTTAATCGGCTTTATTTTTTTTTAAAAAATGCCTCAAAATTGCGATTATATTTTTATTAAATTCTTCAGTCAAATATTAACATTTTTCGTATAACTTTCAGATTGAT